GGTGCCCCTTAATTCTAGGGCCTTCTCTTTGAAATTCCCTCTAATTTGCCCTGTGTGTATCTTGTATGTATGTAGTTTGCATGTTGTCTCCCTTGTTAAAGTGTGAGCTTTTACCTTTCTTTGTAGCCTCAGTGCTTAGCACAGTGCCTGGCACATATTAAGAGCTTAATAAACACATATTGACTGCTTGTTGACTGATCACCAGTGTCATAGCAGTCTGAAGGACAATTCTTTCTTCCTACAGTTGTTCCACAGATGCTTTCTTTCCCAGGATCAACCAAATGCAAGCTCCGGTTAGGTGAGAAATGCCCCAAATAGTTCTGTCTGTCCCAACATTGCTGCTTAGACTAATAGGTACAGTGGTAATGAATTGGCTCCCATCATTTCCTCTACCCTGACAAAATCATATAAAAAAACCCCGTTCAATTTACACATTTCACAGGGAGAAATTCTGTTGAAAGAGCTGACAAGAAAAGAGGCCCCATCTTTCCTGTTAGCCTCTCAGCAGTGGGACCAGACAGTTGTGCTGTTTCTGAAACTTGGCCAACCAAGCTACAGAATGAGTAGGAGTAGTTCCTCCATGTAGGAGCCCTTGAAGGAAGCATAAATATTAAAGGATGATCATGATGATGAGAAAGAATTGCCCTTCTGGGTGCAGTGTGAGACAGAATCATTTTGAGGACAGTGGACAAACCCTTCATGGAGAAAACCTAGGAAACTTCCGTTATATAGCTAAGTAGTTATTAATAACCCTTGCTGGACGTTCTGCCTGTTGTGGAAAATAAGGAACCAGAGCTCTGTCCCCCAGTAGGCTGTTTTCCCCTCATGTCCCTGCCCCCTATACTTCTTTCACCTTTCATACCAGATGAAGCCAGAATAGCTGAGGTGGATGTTCCAACTCTGTAATGAAGCTGTCCCTGAAGGAAAGAGGAAGGAAAATGTTTCCATGGGAAACTCTCTCACTCTTGTTTATGCTGCTGGAATTTGTGCAACATAAGATCATTAGGGAGTGGGGTCATGCGGGCTTGAATAATTTAGGACTGAGAGCAATTGCTTGAGGATGCCAGAGGGGAAAAGAACCAGGAGCGTCTGGCAGAGCCTGACTGCCAACAAAATAATGCTCTTCTAGGGAAGCACCCTCCTCAACTGAGCAGTCCCAAATGTTTTCCTCAAGGTTTGAAGGTGGGGCTTTTTACACTATTTAACACAAAAACAAAAACAAAACCAGAAATAGCTTTAGGGCTGAGGTTTTTAATCTCTCTCTCTTTCTCTCTGTCTCTCTGTCTCTCTCTCTGTCTCTCTGTCTCTGTCTCTGTCTCTGTCTCTCTCTCTCTTTAATGGACCCCTTTGCAGTCAGAGGAAGCCTATAGATCCCTTCTCAGAATAATGTGTTTAAATATTTGAAAGAAATGTTAAATTTCAGTTAGAGGTTGGTAAAAATAAAGATGAAAAGAAAATTTTCCCATCCATGTTTAGAGACTACCTGAAATCTTTTCGTTGACTAGGTCCATGGACTGCACATTAAGAACCTTTGATTTAGGAAAAATAGAAATGTGGTGTGAAACCAATATTAATGAGAGAGAGGGGACTCAGACTTCTTACCAGGAAGGATACAATTACCAATAATCCTATTCCTGATTATACCGTACAATTTTTTTTATTTAACAATCACATCTTAAATACATATATTTAACATATTGTAAGTTAAATTCTGTGCTGCACATGAAACTCTGTTCTAGGTTTGAGGGAAGATACAAAGACAGTTAAAACACAATCCCTGCCCTCTTGGATTTTGCATAATAGTGGGGAAGACTCTACATGTGCCCACAAAAAAGAAATATTCTATAATATAATAATAATAACACATTTAGTTAACACTTGAAGTGCTTTCTTCATGAAACCCTTGTGAGTAATTAAGGCTGACATTCTTGTTCCCATTTTAAGGATAAAGAAACAGTTTCAGAGAGATTAAGCCATTTGTTATGGCGGTCAACAGTGGTGTTGGAGTCAGGATTAGAATTCAAGTCCCTTGAATCCAAGTCCCATGTGCTTTTTCCTACACTGACTCTTCATAATGCAGAACAGAACATGATAAAAGTATAAGAGACACATGACTACTGCATGAGATCAGAGAAAGAAGAGATTCTTTCTACTATAGAAAGAACAAGGAAAGCTTTGTGGAAGAGGATGCATTTGAGGTGGGTCTTAAAAGATTATTAAGATTTCAACATGTTGAGATGGAGAAAGAGGTGATGGGAAGGCATTCAAAGCATGACCTAAGAAGAGGCATAGAGATGGGAAAGCCTGAGCATGTATAAGGGAAATAAAGTAATCTACCTGACTGGAGTTTGCACTCCAGTATCTTTGCCAAGAAAACTCCAAATGGGGTCATGAAGAATAAGACACAACTGAAATGATTGAAAAACAACAACGATTTGGCTGGAGGAACATAGTGTGAGATGAGGCCGGCAAAGCAGGGAGCTAAATGACATTTAAAAATCTTGTCCTCAGCTTTCAGAAGCAGAATGAGAATCATGTCACCATGTACCCTTTAATGTCATCACAGTAAATCTTTGGATGTTGAGATTTTCTTTGGTGTGTTTTCACAGATTCACATTGAAATTTTGTTGGTATATATAGAAACATTGCAAGGCCAAACTGGAAGTATACTGACTACTTTTTAAACATCCATTTTAAGGATTATGTTTAAAAGAAGCATAGGAAAGAGGTATTCCCATGGAATCTTAGAGTTAAAAGGTGCCTTATAGGTCATTTAGTCCAACCTCATACTCCAATGAAGGAAATGTCTCTACAGTATCCCTGATGGTAGTTGTCTGGAATGAAAAAAAATGTTAGAACTAAAAAGGACCTTAGAGATCATTTAGTTCAACTCCTTCCTAATTTTATTGATGAGGAAATTGAGTTCAAGAGGTGAAGCATCTTATTCAAAGTCATACCTCATACATGTGGTAGAACCAAATCAGCCTGGGCACCTGATTCCAAATCTGATGCCCTGTCCACACTTTCTCCCTAGCCTTTGCTTACATACTTCTCATGATGGAGAACTCACTATGCTCGCTTCATTTTATTTATCTCTCCCTCATGGAATGATGCAACAAAAGAGAAGCAAAATCCATTTTTACCAAAGTTTTCCAAAAGTACTCTAAAATTTTTAGAAGCCTTCAATTTCTGGTAGTGCTTTCACTACTCCATAGAGCATCCCTTGAGGGCAGAGGCAAGTGAAACATGGAAAATTTGGTTTCCTTCACCATCTCTTCAGATTGTACCATTTTGGTTGTCCAATATTCTCTGAATCATTGTATGGGAGCTAACTTTTAAAGCAAAGAATACATACAGACGTGTTTGTTGTCTTTTTGTAGCATACATAGTACATCTCAAATACGCATTTTGATGATGCCTGAAGATCCTAAAAGGCAATTTAGCTGATTTAGGTCAATGATAGAATAAAAATCTAACTATCGACTGAGCAGGTACAGGCTTGGGGGAGTCACATGTAACCGAACATAAAGTCTTGGTAGGTATAATAGTAAAAGCAGGAAAAGTTAAGTGAGTAGACCTCTTACATAAAGTAATAATAATAATCACTGTTAAAGCTTGCAGGGAATTTAACATACATCATATCAGGGAGGCAGGTGGAGAAAGAAATGGATTTGAAACCAGAAGACCTAGGTTTTAGTCTTTGTTTTACCACTTGCTATCCTATATAAACTTGGGAAAATTCATTAACCTCCTTAGGTCTCAGCTTCAGCTTCTATAAATTAAGGGAGTTGGAGTAGATGACTATAAAACTTGTTTTAGCTCTAAATCTATGATCTTTTAATCACTTGAGCCTCAAATTCTGTCAGGTAGGTATTATAGATGTTATTACAGTAGGTACATTTTATTGTGGAGGAAACTGAGGCAGACAGGTTAAACAAACGCTGGATCAGTGCTAAGATCTGAAGCTATATTCCTGCCACCAAGTCAATCCCTATATCTATTATATCAGAGGTGTCAAATACATGGCCTGCAGGCCATGTGCAGCCCACAATATTCATGAGTGATGCCCAGCCAGATTTAAATGTAATTGGTAAATATGTAACAAAATTAACAAGAATACAATAAAACACAGATGCATTTTACAGATAAGGGCATTCAATGCATGATGTAAGCAAAAGCGTGGAGGTGGGAAAGCACTGAACATACATGAGAGAATGCAATGTATTTTCATCTATAAAATGGGAATCATCATAGTGCCTACCTTCCATGGTTGTTGTGAGAATCAATTGAGATAATATTTGTAAAGCACTTAGCATAGTTCCTGGCACATAGTAGGCACTATATGTTAGCTATTATTATTATAATATTACATTTCAAAATTAAGTCAATATTTGGCCAGTAGGGATCCTTATATATTAGTGGTCCCTGTTTCTATTTGAGTTTGACATCATTGTACTACACCATACTGGCTCAGGTAATTGCCATTCTTAGATGTACACATTGCAATAATGATTTGGTAAGGAGGACTCATGAAAATGGAATCATAAGACTACATTCAGATAAAATTTTGAGTCAGATCAAAAGAAGAGTAGAGGGAGTCAGAAGGAGGGGATGAACAGGCCTCCCAAAGGTATATTTCATTTATATTTTCTACATAGTTTTGTAGACATGGAAAGGTGTCTCAAGGGAGGGTAAAAGGATGAAATTGAATAGGATACATCTATCTAAATCTATATTCATGTCTATATGTCACACCATCTTCAACAGCTTCCCCCACAGAGACTATACAGATACTATTACTGTACATTTGAGGAAATAGATTCTTGGGCTAAGTAGATATAACTATCATTCTTGTTCAATTTCCTTTTCTGAAATGGGGCTATTTAAGTATTTTATTTCCTCCTCTGTTAATCTGGGCAATTTATATTTTTGTAAATATTCAGCCATTTCACTTAGATTGTCAGATTTATTGGCATACAGTTGGGGGTTTAACTGTCATTCTGAAGACAGTACATTGTTATGGCTGAAAGAGGTTATGTGAGGCATAGGAAGAAAAGACAAAGAAAATTTATTTTTGAGAGACTAAATGAGTTAATTGTCATCTTTGAGAAATGCTATAGAGATGTTTTGAGAGAATTGAGTTTAATTCTTAAGCTGGAAGGAAGATCTGCTATATAGATAAGAAATACTGAACAAAAATCTTGAGAGACTGTCATCCTGAGAGAATTGAATGGAGGGACTATGATTCTGAAGAAAAGTCTGTAGTTGCAGTTAATGGTAAGAAGTAACTCTGGTTGTGATCTTTCCCACAGCTGATCCATTATTAAAATATTTAAAGATGATTTTGTGTTATTTGTTATGTTGATAATAATTTGTATAGCCAATAATTGTGATATTTAAGACTTTGAGTTGAGAATTTGATAATTGAGAGAGAAAGTACATGAGAAAAGATGTTCCTCCAGTTTATTTATAAAAATAAGAAGGCCTAGGGACAGCTAGGTGGCACAGTGAATAGAGCACTGGCCCTGGAATCAGGGGGACCTGAGTTCAAATCTGACCTCAGACACTTGACACTTACTAGCTGTGTGACCCTAGGTAAGTCACTTAACTCCATTGCCTAGCCCCCCCCCCCAAATATATGTTATGTAAAGGTTATAGTGTAACCTTTAAAAAAATGAGGACTGATTAATTAACCAATAAGAGAGACTTTTTATTTATGTTAATTAATTTTAAAAATTTATTTTTAATGCATGGAATAAAACAAACCTATAACATAAAACAGATGATTGTACATGAAACTACAAATCTACTATGCACAACTTGCTATTCCTTTCAAATACACAACAAAATTATTATGTAAATTTCTTTCTTTTTTCTTCCCCCTCCCCTTAGAGATGGCTACCATTAGACACAAATAGGTATGTGTGTGTGTATATATATATATGTATATATATATATATGTATATATGTGTATATATATGTATATATATGTAAAATTATTCTATATATTCTTCTATTTATTCTTTCTCTGGATGCAGATAACATTTTTTTTTCATATGTCTTTTATGGTTAATTTAGGTATTTATAATAGAAAAACTAACTTGTTCACTAAAAGTCATTCTTAAAACAATATTGCTATTACTTTATACAATGTTCTCTTGGTTCTGCTCATTTTGCTCTTTATCATTTAAAGTAAGTTCTTTCCATGTTTTTCTAAAATCATTGAGCTAATCATTTCCTATAGCACAGTAGTATTCCATCATGATCATATACCATAACTTGTTCAGCCATTCCCCAGTTGATGGGCATTCCTACAATTTCCAGTTCTTTGCCACCACAAAAAGAGCTGCTATAATTTATGAGGAAGTATCAGAGCATAGTCCTTAACAGCCTTAAAACCTGGGTACAGAATTAATAAAAAAAATATGCCAATAGCAATTAGAGATATGAGGCTTATTTTGGTTGTTGGCTAGTGCATAATTCAGCACACTGAGGTACCATGTAGTAGGAGTGGAGGTGTTTGTCTCTAAATCTGCTATATTATATATCTATATAATCTATACCTATAAATCTATATTTGGGCAGCTAGATGGTGCAGTAGATAGAGTGCTGGGTTTGGAGTCAGGAAGACTCATTTTTTGTGAGTTCAAATTCAGCTTCAGACCCTTACTAGCTGTGTGACCCTGTGCAAGTCATGTCATCCTATTTGCCTCAGTTTCCCCATCTGTAAAAATGAGCTGGAGAAGGAAATAGCAAATGACTCCAGTATCTTTATCAAGAAAACACCAAATGGGGTCATGAAGAGTCAGACACAGTTGAAAAACAACTGAACAAGCCCCTCCCATATGTCTATATTCTGCATTTAAATCAATATCTATGACTATAGCTATATTTACATATAAACCGTTAGTGTTTATATTGATGCATATAGAATCACAGAATTTTGGAATTTAAAGGGACCTCAGTGGCTATCTAGTACAATCTATACATGAAGGCTATTCTCACTTTAGGATAGTGGTAGGTGGTCTTCCAGTTTCTGCTTGAAGTCCTCCAAGGAGGAGGAACCCACCACCTCTTGATGTGGCCCATTTCACCTTTAGACTGCTCAATTTTTCAGGAAAGTTTTCTTGACATAAAGCCTAAATTTGACTCCTTTCAGCTTCTATCAGCTGCTCCTGGTTCTGTTCTCTGGAACCAAACAAATGAAATCTAATCACTCCTCCATATGACAGCCTTTCAAATACTTAATATTATAGTCCTCTGCATCTTCTCTTTTCCAGGGTAAACATGCTTAGTTCCTTCAATGATCCTTATGGACTCAAGGCTCTTCACCATCCTGGTTTTTCTCCTCTAGATATTCTTCATATTACCAATGTCCTTCTTAAACCATGGTGCACAGAACTGAACACAGTACTCCAGATGAGGTCTGATGAGGTAGAACACAGACTACCACATTCGTATTCCTGGAAGCTTTGCCTCTCTTAATGCAGCCGAAGATGGAATTAGCTTTTTTTGGCTTCCATGTTATACTGAAGACTTACATTGAGCTTGCAGTCTACTAAAATACTTAGATATTTTCCAGAACAACTGCTGTCTAACTATGCCTTACCCAGATATACATATGGCTAGATATACTGATAGAAAATAGATATGTAGATGTAGTTATGTTGATCCTGCTAAATTTCATCATTTTCCATATATTTACAGTATGTATGTATCTATCTGTAGTCTAAAAACCTCTGGGTTTCTGAGCTTAGCCTTTCTTGTGACTGGCTCTCTCTTTTAGATACAGTCTCTTCCAGCCTGGCACACCTACCCTGTTCCTTTTCTGGAATTTCCTTCCCCCATATCTGGAACATTCTATGATCAATGTAACCTCACAAATTGGTGCTGCCACGTCTCTGATAACAAAGATGGTAAGCCCATTAGACCTGAGACTCCACCCTCTTCCATTAAAATCCCTGGCCTTTGTCTATGTAGAGAACAACCTTGTTGTTTGGAATGACCTAGCTGTTTCCTCACTGAACTGGCTTCACAAGAGTCTAGAACAACTCAGTGCCAGGTCAGGAAGTCTGTCTCTCAAGAGCTCACCTTATCCCTCCTGCCATAGTACTAAATTAATCTTACCCAAGGCCTGGATCCCTGTCTGGTGGTTGGATTGTGAATGTCCCTTTTGGAGATCTGGTTCCTTCTTCCATTCTCCTCAACTTCATGCCCCTACATGTTTCAAGCCTTCTTTTTTGTCATTTAAAATGCACTGAATAGAGGACTTTTGCTTTTATTGTCATTATTTAGTCTACTTTTCCTGTGAGAACTTCTGAATCCCCTAAAGCCATCTCTGCTTCTCTCCATCATGACAAGAGGCTATGTCAAAGAGTTGCCCATTCTTTATTTAAATATATATATATATATATATATATATATGTATATATATATAATTTTGCCCCAATTGCATGTTAAAACAATTCTTAATTTTTTTGAATTTTGAATTCCAAATTCTATCACTCCCTTCCTCCCTCCCCAATCAGATACAGGTTATACATGTGCACTCATGTAAAACATTTCCATATTAGTCATTTTGTACAAGAAGACTAGAAAAAAGAAAAAGAATGAAAGAAAGAAAGTGAAAAATAGCATGCTTCAGTCTGTATTCAAACAATACTAGTTCTTTCTCTGGAAGCAGATAGCATGCTTCACCATTAGTCCTTTGGGATTGTCTTGGATCACTGCAATGCTGAGAAGAGCTAAGTCATTCATAGTTCTTCATCATACAATGTTGCTGTTGTTGTGTATAATGTTCTCCTGGTTCTGCTCACTTCAATTTGCATCAGTTCATGTAAGTCTTTCCGGGTTTTTCCGATATCATTCTGCTTGTAACTTCTTATAGCACAATAATATTCCATTATAATTATATAATATTCTATTACAATCATCCCATTCTTTACAGTGAGTGATAATTTCTGTTGTCACCCTATTTTTTTTTCTGTCTGCTGAGTATTTTGGAAGCCTTCAAGTTCTTGGGACCTCCTGAGAAGAAAGACTTCCCACACATGGCAGTAGTTGTGTGCACTGGTCTAGAGAAATCAGTGACTGGCCTACAAGTCTCTAGCTAGCTCTTCTGTTCTGTTTTTCTGAGCATAGGTGACTGAATAACAGTTAAGAAAAGTGGACTTGGAGTTTGTGGGTTCAAAATGTCTATTACTCAAAATTGATGTTCACTCCCCTATGCTCAGAGAAAGAAATGAGCCTTGAGGTCTAGGCAAGGCTCATCTAAGCCAGCATATGTAGTCATTGCTATGTGAGGGCAGGTGTCCTTGCTGCTAGCCAGTAGAGTGGGATAGCTGGAATCTCCTTCCATCTGTGTCAGAAGTCTAAAGAGAGACTTGAAAAGTCCTCACAAGCTCAGCAGACAGGAAGATATCAAAAGTGGAAGTTATTGAAGTCTATGGAGTTGATAGCTCTTACAGATCAGTGGCCAATCCTCTTCAATACAGCCTCTTATGATGGTAGAGGTGAGAAAGTAAGAGGGGAAGCAGAGGAAGCAAAGGAGGACCAACCAGAAGTGTCTGGTTTCACAAGAGGCCAAAGCACATGACTCATTAGGAGTGGTCAGGATATAGATTTGGCACTATAGGTTCTCTACTGGATGCCCCTCCCCCCTCCAACTCATCCACAAATGTACTCCATGGAGTGGGTTCCAATCCAATTCCTACATGTGTGCACATACATGTATGTATTCCCAGTGCCTGACACATAATAGCAGGTGCTTAATTATTGCTTACTGATTAATGGATAGACATCTTCACATACATACATACATACACACATATACGTGTATATTGTCTACTAAAATCCTACCTTGATGTCTCATGGTGGCACAGAGGTTACCCTTTGTTCTTGAAAGTGATGCCAGCAGAGAGGGCAAGCTCTGGCAAGTATTTCTAAGCTGGAAAGACTTCAAGTTCAAGTTTAAACCTGGTGACAGATTATGTCTGTCAACTGAGCACCTGTCCAGCTAAGGTCAGAGAGACTCATAACTAGGAGTTTGTTCACCAGGTGACAAATCATTTGGTCTCAGCAACTCATAAAATTGTCTGCTAAGGTCTGGAGGGGTTGCAATCTGCTTTGGTGGAAGGAATAGCTACTCTGGTTGTAATATATATGGGTAGTAATATACATATATATGTATATTTATACACACATAGATATGTTTCCTTTTCTCTCTTGACAATGGGAGAGTAGGTATATATATATATGTATATATGTGTGTATGTATA